TTACCTAAAAATTATAAAAAGGTCATTGAAATTTTAGGCGCTTTCACAAACGGTTATTGAACTTACTATTAGGACTGTTATGATCTTAATTCAAACTTAAAGGACAACAATACGTGGACATAGAAGATTGAGGACCTCAAGTGCAAATTTTTTGCTATTAAGGCCAAACCCCCAAAAAAAAATTCACAGTTCACGATCTGAAGTTTCAGGCGCTTTGGGAGAAAATCATGCCCTAATCTTCCAATAAATTGGGTTTGGGCCTTAATAGCAAGAAATTTGCACTTGAGGTCCTCAAGCTTCTATATCCACGTGTTTTTGTCCTTTAAATTTGAATTAACATCATAACAGTCCTAATAGTAAGTCCAGTGTCCGTTTGTGAAAGCGCCTGAAACTTCAGTAACTATTTCTACAAGTTTTAAACTTCAGTGACCATTTTGTAATTTTTAGATAAGTTCAGTGACTATTTGTGATATTAACCCTTATGAAAACACTCGAAACCTTAAAAAATAAGCATTTAATAAAATTATTAAAAAAAAAAAGATTCTAACAATAAAATTTAAAAATTGTAGAAATAAAATCTAAAATTCTAAAAACTAAAAAATTCTTCGAAATAAAAGAAAAAATCTAAAAAAATTATAAAATTTCTTACAAAATAAATATTATGAAAAACAAAAATAATTCAAACTCTTGATAATTATATACATAAAAATTCTAAAAAATATAGATTTAAATAAACATTAATAAAAATATTCTTAATCCACGTCATTAATTTTATTTTTATTTTTCTATATTTTGAACTTAATTTATTATTTATTTCTATAGCCAAAAAAATATTATAGGATCCACAAAATTTAAAATGTATATATTGCTTCATATGAAATTGTTCAGTTTTTATTAAATAATCAAATTTCATGGAATAAAATGTTATAAAATTTTTTTCAAAATTTCATATTATTAAATGTGTTTTCTTTTTTCTGTTCTGAGAGATAATTTTTTTAAAGCGACAAACTAAATGTATTTTTAGCAATCTTAAAATGAATTTTCAAAACAAAAAGCTGAAAATGAACTAGAAATTCAAAATTGAAACACAAATCAAACGGATCCTTAAGAGTGCGTTTCATTTGCTATTTTCAGTTTTGTAAAACAATGAAACATGTTTGATCTAGTATTTTTGAAAAAAANTTCAGTTTTGTAAAACAATGAAACATGTTTGATCTAGTATTTTTGAAAAAAATAATTCAAAAACAAATAAATTTATAATATAAAACTCGGAACTTTTTTTTTTTTTTCCAGTGAAAATCCTGAAAACACTCAATACATGGAAGAAAGTGTTTAAAATTTTTATTTAAATAAGATTCTAGAAAATAAAAATATAATCTTCTAAAAACTAAAGTTTAAAAAAAAAAATTACATTATAAAATTGATAAACTCTAAAAATGAAAAAAAGAATTTTAAAATATAAAATCGTAAAAACAAAAATTCTAGAAAACAAAAAATAAAAATTCTGAAGAAATTAAATTATAAAATTTCTAGATAAACGATAGTTATAAAAGATAGAAATAAAAATGGTTCAAAGTCTAAGTGATTATTTACAAAAATATTTTAAAATTAATATTTAATGGCACCTATAAAAGTATTCTCATTCCACGTCATTAACTTTTGTTTCATATATTTTGAATTCAGTTTATTACTTGTTTTCATTTAACATTTGCAGCGAAAAAAAAATTGTAAAATTCAACAATTTTCAAATGTATATATTATTTGATAATATATTAAATATTTTTATTTTTTATTTTCACTGATTAATCAATTTTCATGAAATAAAATGTCATAAAATAATTTCTCAAACATCCAAATCAAACGTGTTTTCTAATTTTCTATTTTTAAAAATAATTTTTCAAAATGATAACCAAATATGTTTTTAACAATGTTAAAACAGAAAATTAAAAATAAAACTGAGAATTGAAACACAAATCAAATGGGCCTTAAATGCTCACATTCATGGTTTTAAATACGGACGAAAGTACCCTTAACTTTTCTTTTTTAAATTCCTGATAGATCGCAAAATTCTTCTTTTTTCCCCTCAATTATAAAATTCATTCGTTTCTCTTACTAAATTCAAACCTAAGATAGCTGTCCATTTGTCGACATCTCACACTTGAAGATTGTCATTGATCTCGTTTTCCATGAGAAAATATACAAATGGACCTCAAATTGATTAGTAATTTTCATTTCCCTTTTCTTATCTAATATTTTAAAATTTTCAATTCGATCGTCAAAATTGGTCTCTTATTTTAGGGACAACAAATGCGTCACATTTTAGAGGTGGAGAAGTTGAGAGAGTGAAGATTTGGAGGGCTTTGTTGGAATTATATCAAAATCAAAAATTTGTGATGAGGAAGAGGAGGAAGAATATGATAAATTATTGTTTGTTGAATGAGATAAAAAAAAATGT